GCTGAGTTCAGTGATCCCGCTTATCACCACTTGTGCTTATGCTACCATCAGCTGATTTCAGTTTGTATGTGAAATACAATAGTGTAAAATAGTGCCATAATCTGCAGCACTGATGGGGACATTTTATTTTTTATTGCACAAAAAGGCAAGAGTGCAATGGTGAAGTGCAAACTGCATCCAGGACAGAAACAACTGCATTATGCTGCTAACACAACTTTGGCTCTTTACAAGCACCTGCACAGGTAGCATGCTAACACTAAGCTAGCTAAGAACCCAGAGTGGTGATAAAGCTGAGTGAATGCTGACCCCAGCCCAGCAGCCAGACCCTGAGATCCAACAGGTAACAAAACTAATGAGCAGATAGTGTGCAGCTCCCGTTTCTACCTGTTCATGTTTTTAAAGTAGAATCACTGTGACGAGCGCTTTAGTCTGTTTGTGCTGGTTTTCATTTTTGCTGTAGGACTGTGGTCTGTCGGTTTATAGTGTTAAATGGTAATTATGAGACATTGTGTTTCAGGTCATTTTACAGAGAAATCTGAAAGTAATGTAGCAAGTAGTATAATGGATTACTTTCTCATGGGAGTAACTGAGTAACATACTGCATTACTTTAGGTCAGTGTTCTGGGTAATATGTGTAATACATTATTTTTATTGAGTAATGACCAAAACAGTGATCGGCACAAACATTTGATCATACAGCAGGCAACTGATTTGCAGGAATGTAATGTCTGTGCTGCTTAGCGATGGTGGTGACTCTTAAAGTGCACCCAAAGAGAATAAGCGATATTGATAATGGAATCGGAATCGCTAAATTCGTATCAATTCCTATTCCCTATATTTGACACTCAAATCTTTTAGTATGTAGAGAAGTTCTTGTTCAACTCAAAGATCACCCCTCCACCACCATGCTGACAGTTGCTATGAGACAACCTGTGTTTGGTTTTCACTGAATGCGTCTTTTATATGTCTTGCTGATAATCTGTCACTCAAGTGTATTTGATCAGCAGCAGCTGAGGGTGTACTTAGTTTTTGACACACTGCTTCTGCATTTATTCTTAATATTTGTTTAAAAAAAAATGACTCAATGTAATATGTCGTGTGGCTCACCTTAAGTTGCATATATCTAATTTTAAGACCTGCAAGAGATGACCTCCTGACATGTGCAACTGTAGAATACTGCTCTAGTAAGTAAGTAAACTTTATTTATTAAGCGCTTTTCATAGACAGGCAGTCACAAAGCCCTGTACACAAAAGGCTAAAATAAACAGAACGTTAGGTACCAATATAGACAATACAAAAGGTTAAATGTAAATGAAAGTTTAAGATTTCAAAATAAATTACATATCAGGACATAAATATTACTTCTTTGTAGTGTTGTACAGGGTTCAGAGGTTCAGGTATCCATGCCTTACCTTTACCACAAGCCTGTAAAGTGACCTCGGAGCCGTCATCCATTTCCACTCCTGGCTGCATTGCATGTTCTGAATGCTTGAGAGGATTATGTTTGTTTGAACATCAATCAGCTGTGTGTCATGTTAACCTTAAAGACCAAACATCCTGCTGTAATCTAGCACAACGGTTTACTGTCAGTACGCATTCACAGAACTATCCACAGCAGCAGCAACAGTTATTTAACACCTACATGATCTTTGTACCATTAGCTTTTTAACTCCATCTAAATGTTTCAGTGAGTGTCTGTTAATATGATTGTGTAGTATTTTGTAGTCTTGTGAAGTCTCTTTTTACTTTGTCCTGAATAAAAACAAAAAACACAAATTCTTACAAAAATAGAAAAGAAAAACTTGAAACAGCAGCACAGTCGTTAATGTTGCTTTTTAACCCCTCGTGCTCAAAACATGCCTTTCAGACTAGCTTTCAAAGTAAATGTAATTAATTCAACTAATTAAACGTCCAACATCCATTCAGCTGTAGTCTGCACACGGGGCCAAAAGCGGGGTGAAGGAATTTCCGACTTCTTGAAGATCTTTGACGGATGCTGGAGCACGTGAACATGGACCGGTCAAGAGTTTGAAAAGAAGCAGAGTGAAGCCTGAAGAGGCACTTTGCAGATATCCAACAAGCAGCAGGGAGACCAAACATGGCAGCCTCTTACTTCCTGCCCATCTACTCCTACCAAGCTGAATGAGAGGCTATTCAAGTGCTAAACAAAGGAAGCAAGCTTAAAGGTACAACCTGGATAAGGGGACCAGGAACCAGTGATTTGGTCTAAAAAAAATAACTATCAATAAACAGCATTACTATTATTAGTGAAGGGTTTAAAGATGTAGATCTTCTAAGGTTACATTTTAACCATGTTTGCACCATGCTAGTCATACACCACTTTGGGTTTTTTTTTTTCCATGGAAATATCAACATGCTGGAGTTGCTCTTGTTTCCCCAAGAAAATAAAAAAATCAAACTTTCTGTTGTTACGCTGGCCTCCTTTCAAAGTTTATACAGATGCTGCCAGTGTTACACCTGCTAACGTCAGACACAGGAGGAAGCACGCTGATGTCTGTGTGGCTGGTTTGCACAAGTCCAGCATGGAAGCTCTCAGGTGCTGGCAATGGGATTTTATGATTGTGTCAGCGTTTCTCTAGTTAATGTTTTACTACGTTTCGGGAAATACATTTATTGTATTAAAATACAGTAAGGACCTAATGTAATTTTAATAACAACAAATCATGCAGCAAGCCCGCTGCACATGGACGTCCTAAAACAAGGTGTTTGATCATGTAAACTGGAAATTTAAGGGTTAAATGCAGGGATGGGAAGTAATGAAGCACAAATAGTTCACGACTGTACTTAGGTAGAATTTTCAGGTATCTTTCCTTTACTTAAATATTTATTTATTTATTTATTTATTTACTGTATGTGTACTTTATAGTCTTTATATTTTATCGGGGTTATGTTATATTAGGGTTGTAAAGTTGGCCGGAACGAGCAGAGGTGTGGCCTTGGTATGATGGCATTTAGCTATGGCTGCAGAAGGAAGAAATGCTTTTAACTGTCAGCAGAAGTGGCAAATAGCAAACTACAAATACTTCATTACTGTACTTAAGTATAATTTTTAGTTATCTGTACTTAAGTAGTTTTTACCCCCCCTCTCTAAATTTTAACACTAATATCTGTACTTTATACTCCTTACAAATAAATTAATGCAAAGAAAGCTGAGAGGAGCAAACGATGAAAACCAAACAAAACAGAACACAAGACTGGAAAAAAACCTCAAGATTTATTTGACAAGCACTTTTCACAAAATGCCCTGTAAACAAATTAGAGCGACTAATAATACACATCAAAAGTTTGCTACAAATAAATAAAGTTCCTACAGTCGCATTTATGTTAGTTTCTCCATCAGCTCTGAGCGATGGCTGGAGTGTTAGAAGGCTCTAACTCTATAACATACACGTCACTCCTCCTGGATCCACCGCTGCCATGGTAACCTGTACTTTTGGTCCTTTTTCCAGGAGGAGCGGGGTGGACACTAATAATGCAGCTCTAGTTTTCTGTTTGTAACTTTTACTGTGCGTGAAATACAAACAAAAGACAAGGATGAAAAATGAAAAACTAGCAGTTATATTGTGATGTGAAAACGTGCTGCATCTCTCAACGAACCCATTATAAAAATAAAAACATCAAACTTCCTCTCTGACAGTCTGGGTATAACTAGGCAGAAACTCCTGTGTCACTTCACTTTAACGGTCCCAAAATACAAAAATGGAGCAGGGCTGCATGGAATAATTTGGAGGGGAGCATTTAAGCTCCATATGTCTGTGCCCAGAAAAACAACTATGTTACACACACACACACACACACACACACACACACACACACACACACACACACACACACAAAACTGCATTGTTTCTGTCTTTCCATTCTAACCTCGTGCTGTGAGTGTTACATGGCTTTACTGCAGCATGTAGTTGGAAACATTGCCTCAAACACTTTCAGTGCGATGGAGTAAAAGCAGCACTCTGGGAGCCAGGCTCAGTTATCCAACATATTGATCACTGACATCAGTGACAACCCCACCCCCGCCCTAAAAAAAAATAAAAAACACAAAAAGAACAGCAGAAAGGTTGCACATTTTGACCCACTTTACAGAAAATACTATTTCCCATGGGCACTTCTGTCAAGCTTAACCACATGAGGATTTAAAAGACACTTCAGACACAGAAGTCCTATGAGGAATCAGTAGACTGCACATTTTTTATACTCGGAGATAAATTTAAGTCGGGCTTTGGTTAGCCAGACAAACGAAACATACATTAGGTTTAATTTACTGCCCGTTTACCCGATATAAAACCACAGCAGCAGGCCTACATGTGAGAGGACGTCAGCACTTTGATCGTCTTTAAATATTTCAAAAAAGGAAAAAAAAAAAAAAAAGCACAGCCTCTGTTCAGCTTTGTGCACAGACGCACAACATGCCAGGTCAAATAACCAACACTGAGAGGCAGACAGATGCTTACTGTCAAAAGCACAGCAGCACAGACAACAACACAACACTGAAATTGTAAAGACTGCAGGAGCAAAACAGAGTGTGTAGTGATATCCAGCAACAACTTCCTGAAGGGAAAAGTTGTTGTTGTGTTTGTTTGTTTTTTGTTTATTTTGACAGCTGGTTCTGCATCATCGCCCACCTACGCTCACCTTCATCTGCAACGTAAAGGCACCGCTAAATACAACAGGTTTCTGGTGACAGCAGATTAGACGTATTCACAGAACAATTAGTGAAAATGTAAAAAAAAAAAAAAAAAAAAAAACAAAAAAAAAAAAACAGTTCTTGTTTTATAAAAAGAAAAGAAAAAAAGAAACTACAAATTATTGACACTAAAAGGGTCAAATAACCCCAAAGAATGACGATGGCTGTTTAACTTCAGAGAGAGAGAGAGAGAGAGAGAGAGAGAGAGAGAGAGAGAGAGAGAGAGAGAGAGAGAGAGAGAGAGAGAGAGAGAGAGAGAGAGAGTGTGTGTGTGTGTGTGTGTGTGTGTGTGTGTGTGTGTGTGTGTGTGTGAGAGAGAGAAAAGCATTAACGGAGTTCAAACATCATCAGTTATGATATCTTAGCCCAATCGTCTTGGCCTTTTGGCTGAAGTAAAAGGGCAACTTGGTTTTTAGGACTGCTGAGGCACAACTTCCATGAACTTCTGACACAGAGCTGTGGTCGAGTCTGAAAAACAAACATCGGAGACGGTTAATCATCACTTCACCTAAGTTTCCACCCAAACAGAGCTCAAATACACCGACTGCATCCCAAGTCCCATTTATCTGTCCTTAAAGGCCACAGCGGCGTTCTTATTTCCACTCAGGAGAGCTATGAGTGAGGCAAACATGAGATCACCACTAATAAAAACCTTTAACAGGGACCTCCTTCAGATTTAGCAAACCGAGTCTAACCCTGAACCCTGAACTGGGTTTCAGGGGCCAAAACAGCTGAGGTCACCTGGAGTTAAACATTTAACTCAGCGATGAAAGAAAAAAAAACTTGGATATAAATCAAGAGCAAAGCAAATGTTCAAATGAATGGAGCTGAAATATGAAAGCCTATCAGTGTGGACCAACACCATATCTTTCTTTACCCAACGTAAAGCCTTGAGATGATAAATCTGAAATCCTACCAAATTTTACATTTGATTGTTAAATGTTATTATTTAGCTGGAAACTGACAAGGACAAAATGCAGCAGCTGAAGAGAGAAATACGGATCAACACACCAAAGGTATAAACCTAAAATATTAATCAGCAGCAGAACGGAGGACAATTTTAAAAAGTTTCAAGAAGAAAAACTTGTCATGTTTTTATTGAACCTAGCATTGAAACTTTCACGCAGAATTTGAGATAAGTAAAAATCAACTGAGTTTATATTAACCTCATAGGACCTGGCGTCCACATACGTGGACATCACATTTTGGGTTATTTAGACCAAAATACTCAATTTTGCTCTACAAGGGCCTGATATCCACTTACAAGGACATTATACTGCTACTGTTCTATCAAAATGTTAAACAAATATCCTCATATGTGGCTCTTATTTTTCTTAAAAACAAAAATAAGGTAAAAAATAAATAAATAAATCTGGAAATTCTTTGTTTTTACATTCATCGGGCCCCAACATGCCCAAATATGAAAGAGAAATTAAAAATGCATGCCATGGAAGAGTTTGGGTCTTAGGAGGTTAATGCACAAATTAAAAGCGCACACAAAAACAGGTGGAATAAAATGCTCCAAGTAACATATTCATAGACAAGGGGGAGGAGTTTGTTTTACTTGGTTTTAAAATAATTTCCCCCAGGGATCAATAAAGTCTTCTGATTCTGATTCTGATACTTACGGATTCCATTTCGCAGCCACTTGGGTTTAGTCTGCCACCACACACCAATAAAATAGACGGGCAGTCCAGTGCCGATGATCCCAAAGCCGATGGCGCACTCGACTGGAGTCTTCCAGAAGGAGACGATGATAAGGAAGAGGCAGGCTAACACAAAGCTCACTGGTAGCAGAATGTTCACCTGCAGGGAGAAGCACAAAAACTCATAACTGAGTGTTTGCTGAGAAATAACGCCGCTGTAAGCCACTTCTGCATTGGCTCGATGTTTTAGAGTCAGCGCGAAGTGACCCAAAACTACAGTTCCTCCATGAGCCACTTGAGACAGGCTCGCAAAAGGAGTCAAAAGCTCCTAAAATACCCAAATTTGTAGCAGGAAAAAGAATATTTGCAATATGCTACAAAAAACAGTTATGACGTAAACTGTTTTACAACGTATCCACCAGGATAACTGAGCTACGGGCGTGTCTGCATTGCCCCTATGGCAGCTACAACATTAGCACTCCACCATTTCATCCACATAAGGTGGCAGCGGAAATGCTAACAAGGAAGGCTCAAAATCCAATCCTAAACCAATGAGGGACATCATGGTGGCTAAATCCATCATTTATACTCTATGCACAGAACCTACGGCCATCTTTTATATACAGTCGTTGTGATATCTAACCTGGCCAAGCTAGATGCAATAAGACAGGATGCTCCCTATTATGTATGCTAGATAAACTCATTTAACCACTAGTGTCAACTAATGGACTCTTCCATTAGCACCCTTCAGTTGTAAAAATCATCAGCCAAGTAAAATATCGAATCACCGCCACCCTCACAGCTCTGGTTAGCTGAGGTGATAAAATGGGATGCCAGGATGTGGCAGGTGGCACAATTCAATAAAGTCTAAATCTTTCACAGATTGTCCTTATAATCTATGGTGGCCCTGAGAGGCCAAATGCACTGCAACTTAAGAAAACACCAGTAAATAGAAAAAACACAGAAAAAGCTCACAAAACACAACAGAAGTGTAAACGGCTAATAGCAAACATGGATCTACAGTATCTTATGGATTATCCAATTAAAATTACCTGCATCTTTTGCTCCCTCACAACACATAAGCTGTGAATGCGTCTCCCAGAAAAATTTAAACTGTTGTGTTTTGAAAGCTTTTGCAGTATTTTTACATTCGCTCATACTTTCTTAAGTTTAAGCTGCAGTGCATTTGACCTCCCAGCGCCACTGTAGTAATGGTAAATGGCCTGCATTTGTATAGCGCTTTTCTAGTCCATAGGACCCCAAAGCGCTTTACACTACATTCAGTCATTCACCCATTCACACACTGGCGATGGCAAGCTACATTGTAGCCACAGCTGCCCTGGGGCGCACTGACAGAGGCGCCCCAGGGCAGTAATAATAATCCCGGTAATAATCCTTATTACCGGGTTATGTTTGATAGCGTCTGTGCTCAATAATCATATATGCGATGCACATGTGTTCAGATGCATTTGGCCACGTAGCATCAATGTGAGTGGACACTGTCAATAACTGAGCTGTTCTTAGAACACTGTGCCCTATCTCTCCTACAAAAAGGAATAAATCTAACTGTGATTCTCCACTACTCTCATTGGCTGAACAGCAGGAATGTGACAGACAAAGAAAGGAGAAAGGAAAAGAGTGGGAGAGTGAAAGAGAGATGGAGGTCAGCAGGGACAGTGCCGCTCCTGTCCCAGCCACCCGCTTTCACACAGGACTGGACCAGTACATCCATTTGCCTCTTTCACTTTTCCGCCTCTGACCATCAAACACACACTCAAATTGTAACAAGGGTCCTCTGTGATGCGGAGAGTGCAGCGGTAGCGCTCTTCCTCTTACTCACACACACACACGTTTGTGTTTCCATCACCTCAGAGGACATCACGGAGATCGTGCAAACCTACCCAAACCATAGCTAACTTTCCAAATCTGGACCCTAATTGTGAAAGCTTTCAACCTCAAATGTAACATTCAAAGACTTTTTTTTTGCTTTTCCCACACTGACTGTATAAACACATTCAGGTCCCCACAGCATGGGTAACACGAGTACACTGCACACACACACACACACACACACACACACACACACACACACACAGCCAGCCTCAGCACCAGCTGACTAGCATCCAGCTCCCCTCCTGTCTTTTAATCTGCGATCAGTATCTGTTCATCTGCACTGAATGGATCTTTGTCTGTCGCTTTACACAAAGAAGGAAGATTTCCTGCTGCCAAAGCCAACTTCAGTGGGAGTCAATGATGACAAAGACCAAGAGAAGATCCATTGTTTTGGCCTGCCTGACAGACTAGTTCTCTCCACCACCAGCCACATTTTTTGCTGAAAACCTCTTAAAAACAGTTCTCGAGGCTGACTCACCTTTATTGGTCGATCCAGCTCAGGCTTCTTATAGCGGAGCCACATCATTCCTATGATTGCCATGGCGATGCAGAGCCAGTTGAAGAAGCTGAAGAAGTTTATGACGGAGAAGATGTCGTTGGAGAAGGCGTAGAGCAGCGTCATTAAACACTGGACAGACGGAGAGAAGGGAAAACATTACCTCTCTAAGTCTGGTGACACTGCCTCCAAGTATGAGATTTTCTGCATGCAATTAAATAAAGTAACTCATTGAAGTTCAACTGAGCAGGTGTAAGTTGCTAGCATGTTGGTATGGTTTGATTCTCCGCTGTGTAAGAGAGCAGCAAAAAGTCTTTGTTTTCAGAAAAGTTCACCTTTGTCCTTTTATTCAAAATTAATTAAAAATATTCTGTAACTGTATATAATAACCTATTATGCAGTGAAGTGAAGTGAGATCCCACAAATTAAAATACTGAAAAGACACGCACACTATTATTTTAGCTATGGTTTCAGAAGATGTACTCTCTTGCGTGCCAATAAAGAAAGTTAAAAAACCAAAAACATACAGTGAATATAAGTGAGGGGAGTGGGGTCAGCAGAGTGGGGTGGATCATTGACAGCAGACTGGGCAGGTGACCCTCCCGAGAACCCACAAAGAATAACCTGAGATGAATAGAAAGACACAGATATGTGATTAATCGCTGTGAAAAGAAAGATGAAGAGGCTCCGGGTGTTTCTAATCTTGACTCTTAACACTTGCTAATTGTGTGTGTGTGCGCACGAGTTTTTTTTTTTAACATGGTTGGTGTGAGAGTGTTACCTGGATGATGTGAACAGTGAGCCGTTGACTGATCCAAAGCAGGACAGGCCTACAAACACCGGGATGATCCACGCCATGGGACCCAGGTGGTAGTTACCAAAATCCTGTAGACAACAACATCAGCAACATATATTCAGCATTCAGCAGCAAGTATTCACATCTTTGGACCAGTTATACCCCCCACCCAAATATACAGTGCTGCTAATTTCTTTAAGACAATTACAATCAAGACCGACTTCTTGGAAACTAAACATAAAATGGTCCCGGGCAGTAGTTTTCCAGGCTTCCTGAAGGTGTCTTAAAGTTTTTCTTTGGACACTGGCTGCCTTAAAATACTGCTGTAAAACAAGGTGGAGGCTCTGTCAGGGCAATGGCTTCATTTTTTCAAATTGGCAATGATCCCAAACACTATGCAGTAAGCACACCTGGATAGAAAAACACACTATCACTCATGAACTGGCCTCCCCAGAGGCCGGGCTTCAACATTATTAAAGTAGTATGCGATCATCCTGATAAAGAATGGAACAAAAGCCAGTCAGCATCTAAAGAAGAGCTTCAAATGTCCTTGAAGAAGCCTGGAGAACTATTCCCTAAGACCACTTAGAGGAATTACAAGAAAATTTCCCTTCTGCTTCACGCGTGGTTTTGGATTGGCTTTAACTCAGGAGGTAGATTAGAGCAGGTTGTATACTAATCAGAAGGTTGCTGGTTCAGTCTACTCCAGTCTCCATGTCAAATATCCTTCGGAAAGACTCCAAGCTCCTCTCCGAAGCATCTATTGGAGTATGAATGTGTGTGAATGTTAGATAGGAAGCACTTAAAGCATACCAAATACAGACTTTCAAGCTTGTTAGAACTGTACAAACTCTGTTTTTGTCTTATATCTTTTAATAAATCACCGAACCAATTTCCCATTTTCCTAGCAAAATATAAAGAAATGAGGGATGGCTCAAGACTTTTGTACATTACTGCAGCTCAAAGCACTCACCACAGCCACAGCCTCTGAGTTAAGCATCTGATTGGGGGAGAGTGTGGTGAAATAGGCCAAGTTTGTTAGGACATACACTGCTGTCACTATCGGCAGGGAGATGATGATGGCTCGAGGAAGGTTTCTGAGGAAAACGTACAACAACGGCAGGCTGATTACAACTGCGGACTTTTGACTACTCCACATGAATTTTAAAGGTAAAAATCACAATTGTGATCAACTTACTTGTAAGGTTCAATCATCTCCTCTGTAACAAAATTCAAGTAGTTCCTGGAAACAAAAGAGACAACAAATAGGTATTGAACAGTAAAAAGCAATGAAGATGCACTGAACCTTTATTTTTCTGATATTTATTATTTAAAAGAAACATTAGTAATGTACAGTATGTTCAGTGTTATTTGTAATAGCCATTCATTGGACTTATCAGATGATATGTTACTGACAAAATGCCCCAGCATTTGATCCATTTTCACACCGTCTCCAAGCACCAGGTTTAACATTTGAATTGAGGGAAACTGGATACAGGCAGAGAGTGGACAGCAAACTAATTGCACAGCTAGGCTGATGTGTTAACTCACCAGCCACCGTAAGCAAACAGGCCACTGTAGAGTGCCAGGCCAATACTTCCAAACTCATATTTGGACCCCTTGAAGGAATTCTCTGGAAGAAGTCCGGCTGTATCACCTGGAGAAGACAAAAGGATTAGGATTTATAAAAAAAAAAAAAAAGCCCCAGTTTACCGTCTGCGCTATTGGGCCACGGGCAGGTTGACCAGTCATTCTGGCATAATACATAAAACACTGACCAGTGAATCCACAAGCCAAAGAGCCTTTGAAAGGGAAAATGTCTAATATCATGCTTAAATCCGCCCCACTATGCGGATCAGTGAAGGACTGCAGAATTACTGGAGTTAAGACCTGGCTGAGACAGTCAATAAGTAACCCAGACAGTGGCAAGGCTATGCGGGTTGACATAAGGCTCACGCAGCCTATAAAAGAGGCAGAGGTAAAAGACGAGGGAGAGGAGCAGGGGAAAGTCTGTGGTTAAGGATAGTTCAACTTTTTAACATTTGTGTCATTTCTAATTATCATAGCTCTATGAATCGCGCCTTCCATCCAATGGCATATGAGATGCTAACGCTGATATAAATGCAACTTGTTCCAGCAGACAGCATATGTATTTCTCAAATCCTGAGCCCTTATGGGGATTTATCACATTCTGATCACTGCCTCTTTTTCCAGTCCTTCAGGTTTCTGCTGGTTGTAGGGGATCTGTGTACAAATTCCTGCTCTCCACGACATGCATTCTCATTCTCAGACATGGCGACGGTTGCTAAACCAACAGCCCCCGGCAGTGTTGGTACTGGGAGGGTTAGCCCTGAGCCAATGTGCAGCGTGGGAAACGCCCGATTATTGTGCAGCCTGGTCCAACGGACAGCCTCATGCATTGCTCCACCTCTGATGAAGCAGACAGATGTGTGGCCACAGTGTCAAGAGACCATGGCGCTCACTTTGAAGAAGTTTGATTATTTTGAACTGTGAATAATGCAAAAATATCTATTGCAAGAATAAAAGTATGGACTGATAATCTACATGATGGGTCCCCCTTAAGATGGATTGCTTTTAATATTTGAGACAGTTGTCGTCTGAGTTTGCCTTTAAATATTCTGCTGCATATTCCAGCATCAGTTAAACGTCACAAAGCAGCTTGCTCATGCTGGTTTGACATTTCTATGAAGAAGAATAGATTTTTTTTTTTTTTTTAAAAACCATGTGAGTAGCCACACATTGCACAAGTCATGTCATCCACCTCAGGCCTTATGTTGACCCGTGTCTCAACTCGACAGAATTCCTGTTAAACTCACAGCTTCTGATCAGGCTTAAAAATCAGTGCAATGGCCAATTTCATAGTAACCTTTACAGATTCCTATGATAGCGAAGTCTGACTCATCACAGCTCCTTTTGTTTTCCTTTTCTGATATGATATGACATTTTTAACGGGACTTACTGACCTTTGATATTTAATGGGGGAAAAAACAAAACAAAAAAACAAACAAAAAACAACAACAACAAAAAACAAAACAAAACACAGAAACTTAATCTTTAAGAAAAGCAACCAAATTAAGGCACATTTCTGTTAGATCATTCATGCAAGCCATTTGTGTGAATGATCCAACAGAAAAGCAACCAAATAAGCCTCTTTTCATAGCTAAATGATGCGTTTTATTTGAACTGATAACACTTAGACCTCCTATTATTAGGCATGCGTATGGTGAAACCTTTAAATCTTTGCCTAAAGTCAGAGTGGGGGACTTTCCTCACAGTTCTGTTTCTACCACTCATCACATTCCACCATATCGGTCTGGGCACGCTGACCCACCACCAGCTGGTCTCATGATACAGGCACCAGACAGTGAAAGTAACACACACACACACACACACACACACACACACACACACACACACACAACCAAATATGCATGAACGACAGAGAACACACACGCAGCCGATAACTTGCCAGCAACACCTGAATGAACTAAATTCCTGCCTTTTTTCCATTCTGTGTGTAGAATCAGGGCACAAAGCACAACTCTGACAATGCACTCAAAGACACCTCTTTAGTTTTTTGATAAGCACACTTTATTTCAAGTGCATATTAGTTCTCTCAGTCACGCTCTTTACAACCACAAATATTGACAGATCATGAAATGGCAAAAATCGGTCAAGGTCTTTAGCACGCAGCTATGACAATGGTTTTAATCCACTTATTTATTGTAAGAAATATTAACCTGCTTACCTTATAATCATTTACAGTCACTTCCTCACGCAAAGAGTTCTCTACATTTCAGTGAGGCCCAGTACCAATGCATGTTGTTGGTGAGCAGATCAAATTGGCACAGATGTCGTCAGCTGTAACCCCGAGTCTGATTCCAAATACAGGGCCTTTCTACTTGTCATTCCCCTGTGTTCTTTCCCTTCATTTCCTGGCTTTCTCAACAGCTCCCTGCTAATAAAGGCTTTTGTGCCTTCCTTTTTTTATGCTTTCCTTTGTTGATATAATGACAGGCACATGCCTAGTCTTTCTAGAAGTCTATGTAATGTCAGACGTCCCAGGTAAACAGTTATTAGAAGCAGAGTGATGATTAAAGATCTTAAAATTGATTCAGAGTAGACACCAAACCAGAAATGACACTTGGAAAAGGACTAGAATAACAAATTGGTAGAATCCGTCCTCGTGTTTCATTTACAAACCAAAACAGACACTAGATAGGTGAACTTAGCATTCAGCTTACAGGGAACGGATCAGGAAGGAAAGATGAATGAAGCCGCAGAGTAAAAGCAGGTACAGCTCATGCTTGTTATTTACTTGAGAACACTTTGATGAAGTTTTCTCACACTACTGGGGGAAGAATTACTTTCAAAAGTATTAATGTAATTAACGGTATTGTGAGAGTAGAGCACAAAGGTCAGAGGCTGCTCCCTGCAGCTGCTGATGTTACAGATTCCACAGTTTGCTATGAATTCCCCACAGTTACTGACACAGGTTTGCTGACATGAACAAAAACAGCGGAAATTGATATTTTGGCAACTTTTATCGAATGTTGTGAGTCACTGCAACCTTTTTACCTCTGGATATTCAATATTGGATCCATACGGCACGATTTTGGTCGAGCACCTTAAACTAACAAACTGGGATTTGCAAACCTCAACTTTACAAAGATTTATTAACGAGTGCCGCACAGAACATCGGTGTATGAGTCGAAAATATTGGCTTTAAAAGTCTGACAAGGAGACATGCTGAACCAGACGCAGCTCTGGTTTAATCGACCGCCACTCAGGTGATCTCGGACCTATGATCTCCGACCTGTCATTTTACCCACTAAGCCTGTGCATCTGTGGCTCCAGTGCACCTCACAGCTCCAGCTGAACATGTTAAATTTATCCCAGTTTGGTTCTGATTAAGTAATCTTGCCCCATAACAGGATACCCTTGCTCACTTACTTCTGTGTGCAACAGTTAGCTGAAGTTTTACACCAACAATTTGGCAGTAGCGGCAACTAATAAGGGATCAGAACATAAACAGTGGATTTGGATTTGATATGAAAACAAAAAGCAGCAGAGACTGGCTGGTGCTGCAGTGCGCTGTTAACGTAATTTTAGATACACATTTATCACTAAAGAAACAGGCTGAAGTAAAGCCAGACTAAACCCAGTCTGCTTTCGGTGTTGTGTTTTGATGCATTTCCTTCATAATATTTTAGCTTATTTCCTTTTTTTGTTGTTGTTATTTTGAATGTGGACACTTGTGCAACTGCATCAACTTTGCAGTGCAGCTGCAGTTTTAAGTAAACCAGTACTGCCACAAAATCTGCTGAATTTCAATACATCGATGGAATATAAGGTGTTAGTGTGTTTACACTGACGTCAGTGTTTCATACAGTGAAAATACACAGGTCATGTACAGAGTCTAGAGCCAAAATAAGCCCTGTGGTCAATCTCCTTATACTCAGATGTACCAGCTCATCCTCATTCAATACACAGTGCTTGCTGTATTCCCTTTTATTGCATTTCTTTCTTACTATTTCTGTCCAGGAGAGCTACTCTGATCTAATGCTAATGATCTAATGTACCCCCGTTTTCCATTTTCCTCCGTCTCTCTCAGAGGAATACGATGGACAACAGCTTCATTGCGTGCAGGAAGAAAGCCAGCCATGAGAGCACAGTTAGGAGCCAACACGGGCAGCAGATTGGGTACAAGCCTCCAGTCGCCTGGTAGAAGCTTTAACCTCACAAAAGAAGCAGAGGGGTCTTGTGTCAGCTTTGATATGTAGACCGTGGTAGTCAGTCTTGGCTGAGAGTGCCAAACCCTTCCTCTAGAGGGCAGTTTGATCGCGTAAGCACACTTCCTGTCTGATTAAAAGCACACTTTTCAGTGGTTTATAGTGAGCTGAGCACATGTTTGCTTGTTCAAACAGAAGTTATTTGTGACTCAGACTTGCAACAGTCAATGAGCACACTCCCAAATGTGTCCTACATAAGAGCCATTATATGGTTTATCTGTCCTATCTTTACACAACGCTTCACCAGATCCTGTTGGTTGTAATAAAATTCAGAAGTCACTCCATGAAATCAAATATCTACAAATCATGTGTGTGAGGATTTACTCGGGATGGGAACACAGCAGCTGAAAGAGAGGCGATCCAGACACAATTTAGGAGTCACAAGCGATGAAAGACATGAAAGCTTTATACGTCTGGGCCATCACGACTTTCTTTTTAACACAATTAACCTCACAGTCACAGTCAGTTTGCCGGTTTTAATCTTAGACTGACTTTGAGGAAAAAGGTACACGACAACACTTCTTCAAATCTCTTAGTGAAGGAGACACAGATCCATTAAGTTAAGTAATCTAATTTAAGGATTTCCCCCTTGAAACTGAGATTACCTGCTTATGTAAGGGTTGATTGTGCCAGCAGGCGAGCTACTGTGTCAATGGAATACACAGCTGGAGTAAACACAGCTGAAACTTCCTGTTTTATGTCGCGTGGCACACAAACTGGTCCGTCAACTTCCTTGACGCTGATGCAATCACTCAACTCAAACTGTAAAGACTTTCTACACTGCCTAAATCATTTAAGGGAATCTAATAACAATATAAACGGAACATTAAAATACACAGTTCATAAAATCCACATATTTTACCATGGAGTTTATTTACTGTTTAACTTTTGTAATGTGTGTCAGGCTCTTAAAGTAACCTTTTTATGCTTTTTAATTACTTTCTGATACACTGTCACGATGGTCTATCCTCTTATTACAGTTTTTTCTGATTGCTTAAACCCTAACTGTGATTCCTGTAGCACAATCTCTAAAACTATTCAGACTTATAGCAAAACCACTCACTGAGTTTGCAAAACTAAAAGCACAAAAACTGCTTTGCACTCAGTTTGCAATTTTGTAACACACACTTTGCAAAACTGTAGGCACAATTCACTGCACAACACTCAATTACCAAATTTCCAACACACTCCTAGCAAAAGTATACACATGTATGGCTATCATTAACACTAATTTGCCAACTGTCTGGCACACTTTCACATGTGAAAACTTTTTTAGATAATCAGTTCACTTTGCAATCAGCCTAAGCACTACAATACAGGTAAGCTGTGTGTGCGGAGTACAATGGAGGGAGCAGAAAGAGTGAGAAGTAGAGGAGGCCGAGGAAGAGGACGTGGAGGTGAAGAAGTAGGACGAAGAGGACGACAAGGACAAGGAGGAGCAAGAGGAAGACGAGGAGGGGGGAGAGGAAGATGAGGAGGGGGGAGAGGAAGGGTAGGAAGAGTAAGAAATAGAATTGCTGATGACATCAGAGCTACAATAGTGGACCATGTAATCAACCGTGGAATGACCCTGAGGGTAGCTGGCCAACGGGTCCAGCCTAACTCGAGCCGCTACACTGTAGCAAGTACCATAAGGACATCTTGAAATGAGAATCGGTTAGTACAGTCACTTCGCACAAAGATTTGTAGCACTGCCATATGCCAATGAGAAACACACCAATACCATTGATGTAAAAATACTGAAATTGTTACTTTACAGAATTGCTAGATGACCAGATGCTGGGGGCAGAGGAAGCATGTTCACTGCAGACCAAGTAACCCATATAGTCATTATGGCGATTGCAAATAATCCTATACTTGGAAATAAACACTTGTGTTTGTTTTGATGTGTTTGAATAAACACCAGTACTTGAAGTTTGGATCCCTCTATGCTTATGGATCTATGACAGAAGTATGAGCTCACACTGACATAGCCTACCTTGTGCACAGAGAAAGCAAAAGCCAGATGTGTTTTGTATTCATACCATCAGTGTGCAGTTGGCGCATTGTGTGCTTAGTAGATGATGGCTTGTGTGTACTGTTTGATACGGAAACACCATTTTTACAAAGATGTGAAGAGTTAATCTAGCTGTGTTTGCTTTTGCAAGAGAACTACAATGTTTTGATTATTGGGTGACAGGTTTTCTTATTTGTGTGAAGAGTTTTGCAAAATTAGCCAATAGTTACAAAAAATGTGCTTAAGCAATCAGAAAAAACTGTAAACATGGACAATGTTTAATAAGAGCTAATGGATCAGTATGGTGTCACAGAGAGCAGAAATCCTTAATGTGGGCATCTCAGACGGCGAGCACGGAAGCCACACCCACCTGATGTTCAAACCTCCTGCTTTTTAGGAACAGCCAGTGAAAAGGAGAGGGAGGAAAAACAGACTGAGTGGGTTCATCAAGCCTGAGTATATTAGAAAAAGAGTGCTTTGAATCACGGAGATGCACAAGTCCAAACTGTCAGCACGTGTCATTTGCATATTTGTGGCTACCTCAGCCCGTCTTCAGCCATGTCGGTCATTTACATTTTAACTTGTTAAAGGTGTGTCTGGAGGGATGGAGGGAAACGCTTATAAAGTGGGGGTTGGGCAAATAAAGCCGGCATAAGAGCAAAGAGGTGACGTGTGCATTTGTGTATCTGTGTGCTTGTGCAAGGTACCTTGTCCAATCTTGACAAATCCGATGATGATGATGAGCGCGAGCGCTAGAAGCTTGGCTGCCGCGAAGAAGTCCTGCACTCTGGTGGCCGCCTTCACGCTGTAGCAGTTCACAAAGGTTAACAACACTGCGAAAGAAAAGGAGGCAGAGAATAAGACCACAGAGTAAAAGAGGCCACTGACACATAAAGCTTACAGGTGTGTTACGCGTATAGGAAACCAATCTTGTAACCAGTCAAATTGCACAACTTTACCCTGTAATGTGTTTCTTCTGCTCCACTTGTGGGACCTTACAGTGAGTGTGTGTGATTGTACGTTCTGCTGTCAACATGACGCGAGCAGAGGAAGAAGTTACAGGGGTGACACATTTTAAGAGAATAAAGTCTTTTCTCCTGTACCCATCTGTCTTTTAAATGCCCATGTACCGGCTGGTGCCTACCCTATCCTCCATAAGCGCACACACGCAAAGTTGCTGCAGTAGCCTGTTAGAAGTGATTAACTAAAGCAGCAGGCCTGTTCAAAGCTCCTAAATCAGGTCGGGGCCACAATAGAAAGACGAGACGGCACAATGAGGCTCTGTATTTGAGAGACCAGGACAAAGGAGAAGGAGGCCAAGTACAGTACAGGGGTAGACACACTTTGGCATCCAGACCCACAAACACACACTAATGGCTAATACTTGGGCATGTAGCATACACGTATATTCACAAACCTGAAGGGAACAGAGACACGCTGATCTGAATTATACAGATTCCAGCAGCAGTCAAATTAAACAAAACCTGGCACTAAAATAGACTTTAGGAGCTATGAATGTGCAGCGACCCTGACCACCTCACAGACACACACACAGACACACACACACACACCTCTAAACTTATGTTCAGGCTGCCATGAAGTCTTGAAAAGAAGAATGAAGTGATGAAACAGGTGAGAATCCTGAAATAATTGCTTTAAGACAAAATAAGGTGTAAAACAGCCCAGTGCACATAGAAAACTCTGCACATCCATCATAAATGTGCGGCTGTTTATTAACTTAGACATGCGACACGGAAAACTGATGATAAACTACTTGTTTTTAAACCGCACCACTAAAACTGGGGTTAAATCATCTATTGGTGTATATTTGCTTGCATTTGATTTAATAAAACCAACTTACATTAAGTTATCATATCTAAGCTTTAAGTAATTAAAATGAAGGCATTTATTTTGATTTCTTTGCTGCTTATCACGTCACAGAAAATATTATTTATGATAAACACCAGGAATTATTTCAAAGCAATTAATTGGGTTATTTTTAAGACCTATAACCTGTGAGCAACCTACATCACCCCGGCAGCTGATGTAATATCGCCGCATTTTTTCCACTACTACACGCGCGCGTGTGCGAGTGCTGATGGTATCGCACGCGCTCCATAGGATGAGGCTTTATATATTGTGTGTGAGCATAGTCGTTCATTATCTCAGGAGGTGCCCACGAGGCACAGGTGTTTTTATAGTATAGATATACAGGAAGTGCAACCACAACCGCCTGCATAGGGACTCTCTCACACACACACACACACACACACACACACTAAAGTTGCATCATCTCGCCCGGTGCCTGAGCTCCGATACTCACTGATGCAGAGACAGGCCACTAGCTTGGCCCCCGTCTCCGGCACCGAGCACACGGGGAACAGCGGCTTCAGGAGGTAGGTGGCGAAGACGTAGGCGACGATATACTGGGAGGACGGCCGGATGATAAGCAGCTCGATCCAGAGTTTGAGGAATGCCGGCAGGGAGCCGTACACTTCCAAGATGTAGGCATAGTCGCCGCCGGACTTGGTGATGGTGGTCCCCAGCTCCGCGTAGCAGAGGGCGCCCACTGTGGAGAAGACCCCGCACACCGCCCACACTATGAGGGACAAACCCACAGAGCCAGCCTCCCTCACTACGCCTGTCGGCGTGACGAAGATACCCGAGCCGATGATGGTGCCCACGATGATGGCCACGCCGTTCAACAGCGTGATGGTCCTCTTCAGGGCGACCCCTTCCTCCGCTCCGTCTCCTGCTGTGACGTTGCCGGGGCTGCTGAGGTCGCTTCCCGGTCCTCCATCCTGACCGAAGCCCCCCCTATCACTGCCGCTACCCGGGGACAGCATCCTCTCAGTGACCTGCTTATCCTCCTCCCTGTCCACGGACGAGTTGGAGTTTCTCTTCTTCAGCCCTGACATCGCTGGTTCCTCTTCTGTCTGCCGCACAAAGCTTCCCGTCTCGCCCCCCTCTGTCGTCAGTTTGATGTGCCGGTCGCTCTGATGCTCAGGCCGGCCTCAGCCACGAGGAGTCCACGGCGTGTCTGTTGTGTGACTCAGAGCGGCGTGCTTTCTCTGCTCTACTCTCTGAACGAATAAAAGAATCGTGGAAATTACGACGTCTCTTACGTCAGAGCCTATCCTCCATAAAGCCCTCCTTTATTCTTTACACCCCCTAGCGTCGGAAATCTGCTACTGCTCCGCCTCACCCCCGAAGCCCACACAGCACCCGTGGCTTTCAGGGACCAGATCACAGAGAAATCATGGGACACGGCCACCCCCGGGTAACTGTTCTGCGTGAAAGTAACACAACCAGTTTAAGGAGACACTAGAAGATGTTAGTGAGGGCATTTTTTTAACTGTATTTTCACAAGTTTTACAGCATTTCTTCTAGATGAAGGTCTCCACCACCCAGGGGCGGATTTAGAGGGTTGGCATGTGCCATCCTGAAATGATCTCTTGCCACCCCTAGTGTCACCCTAGTTTTTCATATGACATTGTTGTTTATTAAGACAGGTTTAAGATAAGGTAGCATTAACACTTTGAAGGTAGAATGATGGTGAGTGTTATTAACACACTGTGTGCCGCATCTCCAAAACGCATGACCGGCATGTGAATAAGCTGACATAGCAACAAGCTGCAGTCACGCGCTGAGTCTCTGAAAGTTTGGACTTCAAACACAGCTAATTGTGCTGAGAGTGATGAAGCTAGTTATAAAATACTCCAAGGATCTTTTCCTTTTTTTAAATATTATTTCGCATTATGTTCTGTAAAAAAAAGGGGGGGGGGGGGCGTATACTTTTTCACACTGGGTCATTTTGGACCTAACATATTTGCCACTACTGTTAAATATGTGATGAATACCTCAGTCAGGCTCTAGCCTTCTTAGTCTCTGTGTTGTTGTTTAATGTCTTGTTGTTGATACTTTGCAATAGGATATGTTAATCTCAATTTTAAAGAAATTGAGATTTTTTGAAATTGGGCCTGGGCTTGTCCATAGTGGACACTTTTATTAACCATGTATCCCCACAGTGTGCACACACTACATAAAACAAGAAAGTCTAGTGCACCACAGTAGTAAAAACTCATACTTACTTTCCAGAACGCACAGAAACCAGTTGCACTGGTTTTATGGTCTTGTACTCTGAGAGAAAATAACACAAGTGGAGTTGGTCCCACTGGAATGAGGACATGTTGTGCAATTTACAGACATAGTCATAGACCTGTCTTGCTAGATTTTCACTTTGCCTGAGGATGAGAAACATCATGAGTATAGAATTTCCGTCAACAGAAGCCACTGAAAAAAAGGGACTGGCCATCTCTTGGATTTATGTAAGCATCTTGCATGTATTTAACACAATTGCCTCATGTTTTAAAGATAAATGTTACTATATAGTGTGTTGGGGGAAAACTCTGTAAAAATCCCAGGAGAAATAAAGACACAATGAGACAAAGTTACTTTCTTTATCAAACGTGTACACGGGTGAGCTGCTAAGAACAACTCACAACGTGTACAGAGGCTGGGCACTTTTTATAGGAAAGACAGTGAGAACAGGATAAGAAAAATACAAAACAGATAAAATAAACAACTCCATATGTGGCGCTAGTCTCGTCAGCAGAGAGCTGGGAGAAAGCTGTGAGAGATAAAACAATCTAAAACAATATGTCCCAAAACAGTATGTCTTTGCTGAGAAAGTCTAAAAAGATAATTCTAAACTAATCTAACTAATCTTTCCTGTAACATAGTGTAAAAACTACATGATATGCAGAAAGGGTGTATTAAATTGTTCATATCATGTTCAGGTGAAGTAAGTCAATAACTGTTAAATCTCGTGAAACCACGCGTGATTTCATCTCGCGGGCTTTGGATCGTGGTTTAAAAAAGGCATCCATCTCAGTCAAGTCGAGCAGCCAACTCTACGTTTTTGGTATGTCTTGATTTTTTGAATTAATATTTACCATATTTCAGCCAAATGTAGTTAACGTCTAGAGTGTCGCCATGTAACATGCTAAAAAAAAAAGAGCCGTTAGCTTATTTGCTGTTTTATCTGTTGTCAAAGAATTGGCGCGTTTTCATTTGAATTTGTCTTTGGCACAAGAGCCGTAATATCACATTAAACCTAATTACGAGGCGCTCATAACATAATTTGGTTTTCTGTGTGAATAGATTTGCCAACTGACTCTTCAGTTACATTGTGTATTTACTGCACCGTGGTGTTAGTGAGATTTTGGACATTGAACAGCTTTAGCTAATATCATCAGCGGCATTATGCTAGCTTACATCCCTACCCCTCCTGCCCTCACCTGCTGTCCTTTTGTTTTTGTTTTTGCTGCACATTGAGAGACGACCTCTATTCTGCATTTCACCAGGGGATGGATTGTGGGTTCAAGGTGTTATGGTAATGTTATGCATTAGGCCAGTAAAAGATTTTTATGCTGCATCCATTGAAACAGTCATTATTACCTGTGAGTACTGATTCCACTAAAATGATGCCATAATTTTTGTCATGCATTTACTGGCCCACTAAGAAAATTTTTTCTTTTTAAAAAAATGTATGTTCTGGAAACTATCCATCCATAAAGTTGATGTCAAACAGGAACTTTTGATATTGCTTTGTAGATGCTGGTGTTGCATGTTGACTGGTTTAAGTTTTTGTCTGGGATCATTTTCTTCTGTGCTACTGAAAAGTTCACAAATCTCTGTTTTCTTTCTTATAATACTTTAGAATGACATTAATGCTCAAAGGGAGTCTCATCAAAGTGCTCCGCATCTGTGTGAAAGACAATTGCAACATCTTGGTGCAGGAGTTCATGGTGAGTGTTTTATGAGTAGATTGTGGCTTTGCAACTTTTAAAAATGCATTTAGTTATCCACTTGATTCTCATTGGACTGGTTAGGACCAGTAGTTCTCTTTAATAATTTGAAGTTCACATGAGGCCTGGTAGTGAACTCGGCCGCCCCCCCTTGAGGCCCCACCCCTGTATTAGGGGTCACATCAGTGTGAAAAAACTTTAAATTTGTCATTCTAGTGAACAAAGGAAAATCCCACCAATATTTACATTAGCTTTTGTTTGGAAAAAAAAAAAAAGACCAACAGCTAACCAAATTGTGGGGCTGAAAGTCTAAATTCTAACATCTTCTGAGTGACAAAACCTGGATTTCTGATGGGCCGGTGTCTTTCTAACAAAAACTAATGTAAAGCATTTGAAATTATTATGTTTTTCACTCTCTCTTAGAAACTCTGTTAGACCATGAATGGCAGCATGGCAGGCCACTCTTTGGCTATAGTTATTTACTATGTTGCTTTGATTGGTTTAAATTTCTCTAACCTTAGAACTGGTAGATTCAAAAGAGATGAGTTTAAAAAGGAATCTTAAAGCAGTGTTTTGTGTTTAACCAGGACTTGACTGAGGCCACTGCACAGATTGAGAAAACCACAATGAACATCTGTCTCCAGAGATGCGCCAGGCAATGACTTTTCTGATGTTGGCATCATCATCGAAGGTATAGTAGTTCTTCAAGATCTGGATAACGTGACCTTTGCAGTAGCCATGCTGTTTGGACCTTTTTTTTTATTCCTTCAATATGAGTTACCCATCACAGCTCTGCTACACTTGAGGTGATTCAAAGGGTGGTAATGGAGTTGGATGCAACTCGGCTCTCAAGAAAAGCTCACAACTAAGACAAAACTGCTCCTGCAAGGAAAGCTCACTGTTATGCATGCAAGCTGATCAGCTCTAGGTGAGAGGAGATTTAAATCTCACACTTGTTCTGCTGCATTTTTGAAGCTCAATTCCAGGAACAGATCGCAGGGTTCATTTTTATATACTCTGCAACTGCCATGAGGACGAGCTGTTTTTTTGTTGTTGTTTGTTTTTCCTTTTACTCTGTACAAGTTCTCTGTTTGGCAGCATTTTTAAATTTCTCTTTGTATTGTTTCTTTCTTTTACTAGTGAAGAGATGTAGCATGAACAGTTATGCAGTCTAAATATCCCATATGGGTCGTGTGAAATGGTATTTTCAGTTTCATTCAGTTGAAGTAAAGAACGTTGAATATTTCTAAGTGTGCTGTTTTGAACCAATATGTCACAGTATGATTAGTGCTGTAATTTTTGACAGTCACTGTATCAATGTTATTTTTGCGTCTCTTGAATAAAGGTTTTGACCTGCGAGTGCTAATTTCTTTAGTTATTGGGGTAAAATGGGTAATGTTGATAGGAAGGTGTTTGCCAATTCAGTAACCTAATTTAATGTTAATGGAAACTAACATTACCTCAAATTGTTTAGTTATAATTGTTGTTTAACTGAATCTTGACGTCAGAGGCCTTAAATAGAATGTTTTGTATTGTTCTTTCCCAAGATGGTTACCTGTAACATTTTTCAAAAGAAACAGTCTAATTTCTTTGCTGTGATTGATTCCAGAGAACACGGAAGAACTGACATTATTTAACTGTTGATTTATATAGATTTAGTAGTGGAGTAATGTCAGTTTAATTCTTTACCTACTGTCAATGCAGTGAAATTAGACATGTTGTTTTGAAAGGTTACTGGTGGATGCCAGCAACCATCTTGGAAGAGAACAATATAATCTGTTATAAGGCCTCCATTTGAAAATTGTGTATTTGATACTAGAATATAATAGCAAAATGTAATTTGAAGATAACATGTAGTATTTAAGTGACCAAGTAGTATTGGGTAAAAGTTATTGAATGGTGTTGGAATAAAGTGAGAAAATTGTGAAGGATTAAAATATTCCAAGAGCTCAAATTACTTCATCAAAACATGTTTAAGTCACATTTTATCAACACAAATTGCACAGGTTTATTGAACATGAATAAATTGTGTTAATTTAACTCAATTGTTTAAGTTGCTGCCAAAGCAAAACATCTGTGTGCAACAAATGTCCACCATTGAATTAAGTAAATCCAACAACATATTTTTTTCAGTGCAGTTTCTATCTCTGTAAGCATCTAGATGTAAGTGAATACCAGCGTGTTGACACGTAGTACTCAACTCTTTTTCTTTCTTTCTTTCTTTTTTTTGTTAATGCCATCAGTGGCTTTTAAGTGGCTGTTTGAAGCAAGAGTGAATCAGGTCAGATGTGCATGGTCCAGAGGTCATACAATAGATTTGCCTCCATTTTCACTGTTTGCTTTCCAAACAGACCAGTTAGGACTCTGTGAATGTTTACAATTCATACACAGGTTCATTTGGGGAACACAGTGTACAACATCATTAAAAAACACAGCTGAATCATCTTCAACACCATTGTGTTCATTCAGTTTGTCACGTGGTTTGTGCTCTAAAATATGAGCGGCATATCGTGAGAAGTACACTCAACAAAAATATAAACGCAACACCTTTGTTACTGCTCCCATTCCCCATGGGATGGACGTAGAGACCTAAAATTCATTCCAGATACACAATATAACCATCCCTCCCAAACAGTGGTCACAAATCAGTCCAAATGTGTGGTAGTGGGCACAGGTGTGCCACATCAGGATGCTGATCTGACATCATGAGTAGTGCACAGGTGTACCTCAGACTGCCTACAACAAAAGGCCACCCTGGAATGTGCAGTTTTTTGCGCTATTGGGGGTCTGGGGACCCAGAACCGGTCAGTATTTGGTGTGACCACCATTTGCCTCATGCAGTGCAACACATCGTCGCATGGAGTCTATCAGATTGTCAATTGTGGCCTGTGGAATGTTGGTCCACTCCACTTCAATGGCTGTGTGAGGTTGTTGGATATTCATGGGAACTGGTACACGCTGTCGTATACGCCGGTCAAGCACATCCCGAACATGCTCAATGGGTGACATGTCCGGTGAGTATGCTGGCCATGCAAGAACTGGGACATTCTCAGCTGCCATCTGCCCTGAACAATGTGAACCATGATTCATCCGTGAAGCGCACACCTCTCCAACGTGCCAGACGCCATCGAATGTGAGCATTTGCCCACACAAGTCTGTTACGGCGACGAGCTGGAGTCAGGTCAAGACCCCGATGAGGACGACGGGCATGCAATTGAGCGTCCCTGAGACGGTTTCTGACAGTTTGTGCAGAAATTGTTTGGTTGTGCAAACCAATTGTTCCAGCAGCTGTCTGGGTGGCTGGTCTCAGACGATCTTGGAGGTGAACCTGCTGGATGTGGAGGTCCTGAGCTGGTGTGGTTACACGAGGTCTGCGGTTGTGAGGCCGGTTGGATGTGCTGCCATATTCTCTGAAACGCCTGTGGAGACGGCTTATGGTTGAGAAATGAACATTCAATGCACGGGCGACAGATCTGGTTGACATTCCTGCTGTCAGCATGCCAATTGCACGCTCCCTCATTGCTTGTGGCATCTGTGGCATTTTGCTGTGAGACAAAACTGCACATTCCAGGGTGGCCTTTTGTTGTGGGCAGTCTGAGGTACACCTGTGCACTACTCATGTTGTCAGATCAGCATCCTGATGTGGCACACCTGTGAGGTGGGATGGATTATCTCAATATGGCAGATGTGCCCACTACCACACATTTGGACTGATTTGTGACCACTGTTTGGGAGGGATGGTTATATTGTGTATCTGGAATGAATTTTAGGTCTCTACGTCCATCCCATGGGGAATGGGAGCAAAAACAAAAGTGTTGCGTTTATATTTTTGTTCAGTGTAGATGGAAAACAAGCTAAGCGCCTGTTAAATTCCCCCACATATTTACTAAGAAGAAAAGGGTCATCAGTCCATCAACAAAAGGAGAAGCATCAGGGCGAGGCATGAAATTGTGCATGAAAGTTTTTTATCTTTTTACACTGAGTGCCAGTAGGGACATGATGAGTTGGAGTCTTGTTTCAAGGTTGGTTGCATAGCAGGATCAAGGAAACTGAAGTCAGTCTACGGGATAACTTTATAAGTGCTGGGAGTAGATCCAGGATGGGCAACACCACCACTGAAATCTGACTCTGACAGCAGATGACTGTCATATATACTGAGGTTAAACAAAATACACAACTGTGTTTTTGTGATACACACAGACACACAAACAAACAGACAGACAATTTCCTGTGTTTAGAGCAGGTAAACACGCTCAAAATTGAATGATCACATCCACCCTAAAGGTGCACTTGTATATTTGTCTCGGTCGATCTGCTCAAAGCCTGCAGAATGCCATATCATAGATGCACCTTAATCCGTGTCTGCTGTGTCTGACTCATGTAGCTACGTCTGTCTGTCTCAGTTACCCTGCAGAACAGTTACCAAGACCCCCAAGAGACCTGGGAACAAGTGTGGCAGAATTTTATGGTCATTGTAGGAGGCTGATGTTCAGCTGACAGACCTCTGAAGTGGTGGGTGCTTTAAAAATAAAATAAACAGTATATTAAAGATGGACAAATTGATAAAAAAATGACTTAAACGTCCATTCTTTCTAACACCTTCAGGAAACAGTTTACAGTCTCAATCATTAGTTTCACATTTAACTGAGTATAAAATTATGCTTTTAAAACAGACTTGATTCTGTTCATCTGGACATAGCGTTTTCAGTGGGAGAAACAATTTGTCACTCATCCAAGTGACTTCTTCAGTCTAGAGACCGAAGATTGCCATTTCCCTTTCAGACGTGTATTTCCCACAGGTTTCCATTTACATCCTACCGACTAATATATTAGGAATAATGTCAGAATGAATTTAGAGGTTATTCATGTTGAAATTCTTCACATAGCACAGAGTTGGTTTACAGTGCTGACTCTGCATTACAATTATGAAAACACATTCCCACAACTGTCCCAGACATAAATTTCACCGCCCACTTCAAAGGAGCAAAAGGATTTTTTTGTCTGGGAACATAAAGTTGTCCCTTCAAGAGGGAGTACAGCACTGATGGGAAAAGGTTTGGGAAGCGAAGACGTGACAGAGCGCTGTGGGCGAGTGCCTGTTCGGCAGCTGTTTCCTGTTCCTTTTCAAAGGAATCTGAGGGTAGGCTGACCAATGAAATAATCAAATACACAATAAAATATACAGTCAAAGTCAGGACTGTTCAGTGCTTCCCATCATTCTCAGTGATACTTTCTTGCAAACCTGTGAGATATAGCAGTAGAAGTGGCATTTAATACACCTTCCTTGCTGTTGAAATGGTAGGTCACAGTTTTGCTGTATTAAGATTTAAATGACTTTTACATAATGCTTTTTCTTTGAACTGGGCACTTTAAACATGCATTAATCAACACTTGACTTTTACAACTGATCCTGTGAGATATGAAATTAGTCAACAGTAATCATGAGGCCTAAGAGAATAATTAACCAACTCAACAGTGGGAGCCAAATTGTTCTCAGCAGAAGGAGGTGGATGGTTTTAGTTCGAAAAATGTTGTGGAAAAGCAAATCCATGCTAAACAGAAAGGTTAGAGTTTAAGTTGTGAACATGTATACTTTGAGACTATAAACTTCTCTGAGTCTGCGAGGTGTTAGGTCAAAATTTAGCTTGTTCTTAAACATGTGCAGCAAACAGAAACTTTCAGTGGTAAAAAAAAAAGAAAAGACACTTCCCCTCTGGTAACTCAGGTAACCAAACTAGACTTCTTGAACATATTTTCTCTAGT